GCTCACCTTCAAACAATACACGAAAGTGAGCTATTTTTCGTTCATACTCGTAATTTGTCCATTCTTATAATCCGCAGGCAATCGATATCTGGTCTGTGGGATGCATCCTTGCAGAGATGCTCTCTTCCAAACCGTTGTTCCCGGGGCGCGACTATCACCATCAACTTACGCTCATTCTCGATGTACTTGGGACACCCACCCTCGACGAATTCTACGCCATCTCGACACGTCGCTCTAGAGATTACATTCGTGCCCTGCCTTTCCGCAAGCGTCGTCCCTTCTCACAACTTTTCCCCAACGCCAATCCTTTGGCGGTGGACTTCCTCACTAAGACTTTGGTAAGTCAATCCCACGACAATGACGGACGGCATCTGAACTGCTACCGGATACGAATAGACTTTTGATCCTAAGAAACGCATCACCGTGGAACAAGCATTGGCGCACCCTTATCTTGAGGCTTATGTGCGTCACGTCCATTCTTCTCTGCTAGATGCTTGACTGATCTTCCAATTACGCAGCACGATCCTGATGACGAACCCGTGGCTCCTCCCCTTGATCCCGAATTCTTCGAATTTGATTGTCAGTCCTTCTCAGCCCTGTCAATACATCTCAACTGACTTTTTCGGCTCCCACAGTACACAAAGATGACATCAGTCGTGAACAACTCAAGGAACTTTTGTACGAGGAAATCATGACCTTCCAACCCGCCCCCATCACATAAAGTGTACTATTACATCACGCTCACTTTCATTAAGCTTCTTGTATCTTTTGATACCTCGACGTTTTCCTTCATCTTTATCCCGTGCACCTCTCCAGCATCTTCAGATTGCCCAAACTTGGACCTTAGTACCTATCCAATCATTCCTTTCCTGTGGCCGCTTCGACTTGGATCGGTTTAGAGTTCGTTGTTGGTCTGGAACCTCCCGTTTTTCACTCTTGTATCTTTTCTTGGGAACGCGTGCCGGTCTTTCTTCCGAGCATCGGAGTATGCTCACCTAATCTTCTTCCTCACTCGTCCCATCCAGTCCTTACGTTTTATGTATGCATGTTCTTGCTTTGATCTACGCCCTGAACTCTGTCCCTTACTGTCCTTTTGTTATACATACCTCAAATCACCTTTCTTGGTCCAACATTCCTCATCGATTCCTCCACTCCTCGTATTTCTGTCTTATCCCGGCAATTGTAATTAAAGAACCCAATGGAGCAGCATTTGGACAAATTTGCCATCATGAGTTCTGAATTCTCCTTGTCCTTGTGAAGTTGGATCTGATTCAACGTTTCATGTTCAGACAAAAGCTATTTTAGAGTCTTTAAAAGGCATACTGAGGCTTTCGGTCAGTCAGTATTCATGACCCTGAAACGCCCCAAATGCAATCATTACAGCGGTTGCAATATCAATCCATGATTTTAGACAGGACCATTCCATTGTGCATGATTTCGTGCAGTTCGTGTTTCAAAGCAAGCTCATAATCTGCAGTGAAGAGCTAGAAGACTTCTAAGAATCAAGAATTTGCACACCTCGGCGGTACGGCACTCACGTATAGATTTCCTGTCGATTACTGGACAACACTTTCAAAACTAGAGGCATGTCAATGGATAGCCCAAGGAGTTAGACAAGGTTAGCGCACTTCATCCTCCTCAAGAACTTTTGCTGCTGCTTGCACGATAATCTCGTGCTCTGCCTTGTGCAAGCGCTCCTCAAACACCTCGATGGGCTCGCCCTTCATGATGGGCACCTCTCTCACGATTATCGGTTCACCACGATCAACATCCTTCACCACCCGATGTACCATAATCCCTGTACGCTCAATCTCTCCCTTTTGGAACGCTTCGTACGCCCGTTCAATCGCGTGCGCTCCATCAAAAGCGCCTGGGAGAGCCGGGTGTAGATTGATGACTGGAACGGGTTTTCGCAGTTGTTCACCATCCACAAGGGGTTTCAGGCCGTTTGCCCGTTCAAGAAGGCCCTCTCCAAAGATGTGCATGAACCCAGCCAAGATGACAAGGTCAGGGTTATCCTTGAGCACGATGCGAGCGACTTCTGCATCGTAGTCCGCGCGGGTCTTGCCCGCGTTGGCTTTGAGATACGGCTGAAGTGCTAGATAAGATATGGGAATCGGAGGTTTTGCTTCTGTGGCGCGGGTCAAACCATACGCAGCCTTTCGATTAGAAAAAACCAAGGAGATTCGTGCATTGGGAAGCAAAGGCGTATTTTGAGCATCTATCAGGGCTTGTAGATTGCTACCTGAAGTTTAATGCCCTGTTATCCGTTGTAGTAATGTGTATGTTTCATATACACACCTGAGCCAGAAATGAGTACAACGATGTTTCGTTCTTTTGGCATCAGGTCAAGGTGGAAGATCGTTGAAGGATTTTGCACCGATCTAATCTAATCAACGATCTGACATGAGAATTGTTTTCTGAGTTCTGGTTGACTCTGTTCACAGTTACTAATGCTATCACGAAGGATTCTGCAATAACTAAGTTATACCTAAATCACTATGGAACGCGCCTCTGGATCACCTCGTTCAGTCTCCACATCTTCCAGCCCGTCAGGCTCACCTCCGAAGCTATCTTCTGATACACTTGCCCTTCTGGAACAATTCTTGACGTCGAGAGCAGAGGAGGAAAAACGCTTCAATGACTTGGCTGAACAAGCGGCCGCACGCGTCGCAAGCCGCGAAATGAACGTGGACATAGAGGAACCCGATCCTCCCATGATGAGTGTCGATGAATATCGTCTGGCATTTGGCGAAGACTGGCAACTCAGCCAATTCTGGTGAGTATCTGGCTTGTTTGGTATATCATATGATGATTGTACATGCCCTAGCTGGTACTAGCACAGGGCGCTCTTGCTTTCTGGATTTGTGATATATATACTGATGTCTTGAAATATTGGACAGGTACACAACCTCCTATGCCACCCGACTCGCCAAATCTATTCGATCGATTTGTGCACCGACTTCAAAAATAGCCTTCATGTGTTGCCCGACTGCCTTCGTAGCATTCCAACATACCAATCCACTGGACGGCGCACGACTTCTCGAGTATGATAAGCGATTTAGCGTTCTTGCACCGAACAAGTTCATCCACTACGACCTAGACGAGCCGGATACCTTCCCAGAAGCTCTACGTGGAACTATGGATGTTGTTGTTGTCGACCCTCCTTTCTTGAACGAAGTAAGCCTCAGTCCTATTGTGACTATCCCTTGTCGCTGGAACTGCAACAGATCACCAATAAGAAGTTGATCAAGACAATTCGGCAGATCATCCACCCGACGCGGGGTAAGTTGGTACTCATCACATCGACTTCCATTGAAACCGTATTGCATCAATTATACAATGAACCGCCCATTGGGCCTTTGCGACTGACGTCACTGGAGCCGGATATGGGGAGACTTGCTAACGAGTTTGGATGCTGGGGAGCATGGGAAGGCGCAGAGGACTTTGGAAAGAATATTGTCAAATAGGTTCGAACAGAAACTCGCAGATTTCACTTGACATTCCATCTGCCCACTTGATTGAACAATTTGTGCATAACTTCAGGGACGACTGGTTCATGATCTGGCTGACAATCTGTAGCGCGATTTGACAACCTTGACTAATTTATTTATCACCTTTCTGTGTCCTTCCAAGTTTCTGGTTTGCCAGTATGTAGAACTATTTTTGGATAACGATGGACGATCGCGGTAATTACCAACTGCGCCACGTCCAGCCCCCTGATTTATCTATCCTATTTGAAACATGAGACAAATCCTTGAAACTCTTTTTTCCATCTTCACGTCGACCTCAATCTGTGAGGTATGCCAACCAGAGGTGAGTTCTCATCTTATATCCTAATTCAACATGCCCTCATCATGATCACGAATCCATTACTTGCTGCCGTAGGCGTATTCTCAGGTGCGGGGTGAGTGTTAGCATACTCTAGTCACGAACCCCTGAGCTGATTTATGCGAAGAATTGCAATCTTGCGCAGAACGATACACTTCGACTGAGCCTCTGCACCGGGTGCAAGTCGTAAGTAGTTTATAAAGAAATTTCTCAGTTGAAGCTCGCTCACATCCTCTATCTACAAGGACGCGATACTGTTCTGAAGAGTGTCGTAGGCGCTAAAACCTTCAGCAGTAGTCGGATTCGCTTACTCACTTCAATCTCAGAACTCGCGGATTGGGCTGGGCACAAGCTTCTTTGTTCCAAAACGGCGGAGGTTATATCTAGGGGACTTCGATGAACACCTTGCTCTGGTCTCCATCGCGAGTGGTGTAAGAGCACCCGAAGTGACTCTCACTACGTTTTACAAACTCATGGTTTGTGTATCGAAACTAATTTCTTCATTTTCGCGTATTTAACTGCTCCGCAGACCAAGTGGTTCAAGACGTACAGAATGCCCCTATACAATTCATACCTCGCGGCCATAGGGATGCTCAATCATTGTTCAACTGGCCCGGCGGACCTCCTGGCCAACCCCAGAGTCCTCTATATAATTGTTTTACTCAGCGCGAGGACCAAATCTCGTTCCGCATTTCGAGTTGTGCACGCCGAGCTCGTGACTATGCAAGAACTTCAATGTTCCTCTTCCACGAGACCACCGGGTCTATACAACGAGGATCACCAGAGAATTGTTGCCCAATTCCAAGAGTACCAACGCGTCAAGCAATTGACCGATCCACCGAACTCGAATGTCCAGAGAGTTCTTATCTTGCACAGGTTGCATTTTAAACATGCTTCAAAAGAATTATTCACCTTCGTACCGATGTATTGGGAGAGCAATTTGATGGAGGATCTGGCGAGTGTCGGAGGGTTGGCCCCGGATTGGCTTTCAAGGTTACAGACCACCGTGGCTACGGGCAGAAACGATTTAGGCTTGGGATAGTCCCCAAAGTTATTACATTGTTTACCGTGATCTGTCTCGTTCGTGGTGGTTTGAACATCAATCTGTAAAATCTATTAGCGACTGCATTTGGATAAGCAAAAGGGAAAAGAAAAAATACATTCTTGCGTGCCCCCTAGCCGACTTGAACGACTGACCTCGTCATGTACTTCGAAGTACGAGTGACGCGCTCTACCACTGAGCTAAGAGGGCCGTTGTGAATCTTGCCACAAAAACCGTGAGATATTTCTTCTGTAAGCAACTCTAGGGTTGCGGGCGCCTAAATTTCTAAATCTCTCGAAAATACATGACTCGATCTTCTGGACTTTCCTAGCTGCCTAGTTTTCTTGTTTCCCTCTTTCTTTTAAATATGCCACCCATGAAGCTGGCGATTATAGGTGGCGGGCCGTCCGCTTTTTACGTCGCGTCGCGTCTGCTTTCTCTCGTTCCGGCAAATTCAACGAACTCTCCACTCCGGATACACATGTTCGATCGCCTTTGGGCACCTCATGGGCTAGTGCGCTATGGTGTAGCGCCGGATCATCCAGAAGTGAAAGTGAGTCTTTTGTATATCATGCTTTTCTTGATAATAATTTGATGTAGCAACGCTAATCCTTTGTCTATTTTTTCCATCTAGAATTGTACTCATAAATTCGACGCGACGGCTACAGACCCACGCCTTAAATTTTTCGGTAACGTCAACGTTGGGTCTCCATCCACTCCTTCACCAATCTCACACACCCTCAACCTACCATTATCCTCCATCTTCGCAAACTACTCCCACCTCCTCTTCGCCACAGGATGCACCCTCCCAACTCTACATCCTTCTCTCCCTCCCTCTCCCTACTGCGTCCCTGCTCTTTCCCTCGTCCACTGGTACACCCAACACCCCTCCGCGCCTCCTCCCCCTCCCCTCGACCGTACATCACACGTCTCCCTGATCGGAAACGGCAACGTTTCTCTCGACGTCGCGCGCATGCTACTCACCCCACCGTCCATCTTAGAAAAATACGACGTCCCCCGACCCGTCCTTGACGTCCTGTACCGGTCCCAAGTCAAACACGTCTCAATATTTGGGCGCCGTGGACCCCTTGAGGCCGCGTTCACCGCTAAAGAGCTGAGGGAGTTAATCAATTTGCCTGACGCAGCTATGGTGCCGATTCGAGAGGACATGTTGGATGTGAAGGAGACAACGAGGCAGCAGGGTAGAATTCTGCAGCTTTTGAGGAAAGGGTCAAAGAATGTGTTTGGGACCACCCAGAAGACGTGGTCTTTAGATTTTTATAGGTCCCCGACGGGGCTCGTGCTCCCCAACGAGAGTGAGGGAGAGGGTATGGCAAAGTTGAGTTTGGCACATACGAAGGTAGACCAGGAGACAGGGAGAGCAGTGCCAATGGGTCAGACGGAGGAGGTGAAGACCAGTCTAGTTGTTACCTCGCTAGGATTCCACGCGGAGCCCACCGTCCCGTTCTACGATTCAGATTTGAAGCATCTGAGAACGATGCCTGGAGGACGCGTTGTCGATGGGAACAAGGAAGTCAAGAACGTGTATGCATCCGGGTGGGCCGCGACGGGCGCGAAGGGCGTATTGGCCGCAACGATGATGGATGCGTACGGGGTTGCCAATGCGATACTTTCGGATTGGTTGCCTGTGGATAAGGAGGTGCATACGACGATGGTGCGGGAGGGTGAGGGTGCGGACGACGTGGATCCGAGTCAGAAGCGGGAGGTGATGAATCCTGAGCCGGATCCTGAGAGTGTGCCAGTAGAAGTGCAAGAGGGCTTGAGAAGGAATGTAGTTACCCAGTACGATGATTGGAAGAGGGTGGATGAGGCAGAAGTTAGGAGAGGAAAGGAGATAGGAAAGGAGAGGGAGCGGATGGAGTGGGCGCAAGCGAGGGTTTTCGTGGGGAGGAGTTGAAAGATTACTACAGTAGTACTAGAATATGATGCTCTGGTCACTCTTAATTGTATTCTATGAGTGGAAGATAGTTCAGACGGAAACTGTTGATTGGATTTGTGAACATAGGGAGTCGAAGAATAGAGTACAGAATCTAATGTTTTGCGAGAGTGCTGTATCAGATTTCAGAGGACAGATATGAAGTAAGTACAAGCGTTCGTGTTCGTCGCGTGATATAACGGGAGACCATTGTATGGGATTTTATAGTCCAAAAGCTCCTTCTCTCGGGATCATGTTTGCCAGAGGTGAGAATTATAGCTTACTACTCAATCCAAAAAGAGAAAAGAAGAGCAGGAAAAAGTTGGACAGGAATTGGTGATGATACGAAGGTGACGAGCTTGCCCGAGTGGTCATAGTATGATGGGAGAGATGTCCATTAAAGTTCATTCAAAGCTACAGCCTGTGTATAGCTGTGAGTGGATTGAGGTGCGAGTGTTTTATGTCTTCTCCTTTCGCACCTTCCATCTTGATCTTTTGAAAACTTATCGGGCAAGATGTAGACCAGGACAGGAATAACTTATGGGATTGAATTTCCGTTTATTCACCGGAAGAAGGTTTTTGCATAGAGTAGAATTAAATTTTTGTAGACAAGGTGTCTGGCTGAAGCAGGTGTCTGGCTGAAGCAGGTGACGGCTGTCAAGTACATCAATACATCGTCCAGAGACGATCTAAAATCCAGAGAAGAGCCCACTACACTTAGAACATGTCGAGAGTTGGTTTGATTAATTGAACTTTGAATCGTTCGTTCACGACTCCACGGATGAAGTAGTCGACCGCTGTGACACATGTAGCCATTCGGGATGGCCAAGCACACACACCATTACATTTCGAGCGAAGCGATGCGATAGATCCATAGAGGAATTTCTCGTCGGAGGCCGATAAGGGACAGGAGGAGGGTATACCATTCTTCGCACCGAATTTCAAATTTCAAGATTTGTCGGACAACAGATGGTTATGTGTTATATAGACCGCTGCGAATCTAAACGAGTCCAGCTGAGGTTTTCTAGGATTTCTACGTTAAAATAATACCTTAACAATGTTCTCGAGTACTCGAGAAATGAAAATCAGATTCGACAACTCGTGACATAGCCAGCACCTTTGTTCAGGATGAGATTTTGCGCATGAGCCAAATCAGATTTCGGTAGCATTCCAAGTAAAACTCCCAAAAAGGCCTTTGCTAGTACGATTCAACTATGATCAAATATCCGTAAGACAGCGGACGACCTCATAGTGGTCGTGGTTATTGACGACTTCACCCAAGATTGATTCCGTGAGAGCTGAGGTGAACTTCTCTAGAATAGGCTTGAGGAACAGCTGTGAAGAGAGATCACGATCAAAGTGGCAAGTCGAATAGTGAACTTATGATTCGCACCTCTGTACTGAACACGAAGAGTATAGCTAATAATCAAAAACGCGCCGGAGGTATACAGTCCATCATCACCCAGCAGAAAAGAATGGGTAATCTTCTCAAGGAGCGAGATCGACCCATATGGAGCTGAGTGCCTGTTGTTGCACACAGAACCATAGTATGGATGAATAAGGATAGACCGTAATTGCAAAGAAATGTGACGACTGAAAGACAGAACAGCCATGAGCGGGTTATCTGTAGACTGGTAACCAGTCCTCCACGGATCCAAGTCACTCGAGACTTGTATTCGTGGAGGGTCGGTCACCAACGTCATCGGCACAAATGATGGATCGCAAACATCTCTCGCCCGCCGCATGCTGTTCACTCCAGTGTCCACCTTTCTCGAGAAGCTTAACGGCATTCTCCAACCTGTTCTCAGCTGCTCTAAGTCAAACACGTTTCAATATTCGTGGTGGGCTGCTTGAGGCGGCATTTGGGGTTGGGAGAACTGGTGAATCGTCCGTATACAGCTAGTTGGTGTGAAGGATACGACCAGGCAGCAGGGGAGGATTCTGTACCTTTTGGGGAAGGAGTCGAAGATGTGTTTAGGACTACCTAAAGGGAAGAATATGACGAAATCAAGTCTGACATATGCGAACTTTGCGAAGCTTGACCAGGAGACGTGGAGAGCAGTGCGGACGGGTCAAACGGTTGTCACTTTACTCGGATTCCGCGCGGAGCCTACGTGCGCCGTCATTGCATAAAGACGATGCCTGGAAGACGCGTCATCATCGATGTGGAAGATGGGAACAAGGAACTAGAAAACGTACGCATTATGGGCGGAGATATGAGCGGAGACGGGTGCAAACTTGGTGGTCACGACCATGATGAATGCATAGATGCAATACTTTTAGATTGGTTGCATGTGGATAAGGAAATGCATACGACGATATCTGCAATCCGGCGACAATCGAAGAACGAATGGTATTTGTATGTCTTCCTGCGCCTTGCCGGCCTCCCCGAAGGCCTCTGTAAATCTGGCAAAGTGACGTGTTTGGCATCCAGAATGGCCACTAGCATCGACTACTTGTGGAGTCATGGATCTCCAAGTCGTTCATTCAGTCAATCAAACCTCGACAATGTCCCCAAGTGCTAGGCTCTACTCTGGACCTTCAGATTATCTTTGGTGGATTACTTCACCGTCACCTGCTTCTGGGGCCAAATTCAATTATCTACCGAGTCCAGTGAGTGAACGAATGTTCAATCCCATTTTATTACTTTTCCTGGTCTAACCTCATGAAAACATGAAAACATATTTCCACTAGGTTTGGGAGCCTTGCATTTTCTCAACACCAAAATGGGAGGTGCGAAAACAGAGAATATACTCACTGTCACGTCAATTCCGACGTTCTGAATTGTATCACAGCACCTATTTCAGATAGATCTGAATGGAAAGCTGATTTCTACTATCGTCTCGCACGACAACACCACGGGCAAATTTATCCCTCTCACTCACTCGGCGCACATTCTTCCTGCTCTTCTCTAAATGGAACGGGCACCATTGTCGGGCATCAATCTTCTGGTGCGAACACGGTCCCGAGCCAAGAGCTTCGGGGAACATAAAAGCCCTCTAGTACAGTGCTTCGTGTCCAGAGCTACACCGTCCCACAACTCACTCCGTAATTGTATACAACATCATGTTCAACAAACTCTTTGCCACCATCGTCCTCACCTTCCTCGTCAACAGTGTCACTGCTGAACTCAAATATCTCGAACCCGGAGAGCAATGTTCGTTCCCTTTGAGTTATACTATTTGCGTATCAGCTAAAGTTGAATCTTCTGCAGGTTCAGGAGTTGGAGGTCCACTTGGAGTGAGTGCATACGTGTACCTCCTCCGCTTCTGAT